AGGCAGAGTGTGCCTTGTTTAACCTCATCAGGAAACATGCATATTGGGAGACTTAAATTTCTCATTACTCTGTGCCACCAGTATTTATTTTGAGATTACAAATTAATTTTAGAGAGTAACTGAATTTGTGACTACAAAATTCATAAAAAATATGGGTCAACTGTATATCATTAACAGCATTAAATGTAAATAGATTAAATAATCCAATCAAAAGGCAGAGACTTTCAGACTGGATTAAATAAAAACAAGGTGTAACTAGATGCTCTGTAAAATAGGCATTCTTTATACTCCAATATACAACTAGATTGAAAGTAAACAGAAAGAGATAAATTATACAAACAGTAATGATAAGAAAAATTGTTACTAGAGATGAAGAGTAACATTTTATGATGATAAAAAGTCAGCTTATCATGAAGATATAATAAATATAAACATACATGCAAATAATAACAGAGCACCAAATTACGTAAGCAAATCCTGACAGAAATGAAGGGAGAAATAGACAAGTCAACAATATTAATTGAATAGTTCAATACTGCAATTTTGATAATGGATAGAATAACTAGGTAGAAGATCAACAAAAAAAGGAAAACTTGAATACAATAAATCAATAAAATCTAGCAGACATCTGTAGACTACTCCACCCAATGACAGCAGAATATCCATTTTTTTGAAATGCATATGCAGCATCATCTAGGATAGACATATGTTAGGTCATAAAATAAACCTCCAGTAAATTTAAAAGGACAGAAATAACGCAAAGCATGTATTCTGGCCACAATAAAGTTAGAAATCAACAACAGAAGAAACCTGGGAAAACAGACAAATATGTGAAAACTAAACAGCACACTCTTAGATAACCAAGCAACAAGTCAAAAAAGAAATCAAAAGGAAAATCTTAAAATACATCAAGATGAATAAAAATGAAACACAAAATACCAGAACTAATGAGATATAGCAGAAGTATCGCTTAGAGAGAAATTTATAAGTTGTAAATATCTGTATTAAGAAGGATCTCAAATCAATAACCTAACCTACTTTAAGATGCTGGAGAAAGAAGGGCAAACTCAAAGCAAGCACAATGAGGAAATAACAAAGATTAAAGTGGAAATAAATAAATAAATAAAACCAATTCTTCACAACTCTTTTAAAAACTAAGAGGAAATATTACTTCCTAACTCTTTCTTATGAGGCTCATATTATTCTCATACCATAATCACATAAAGACATCACAAGAAAATAAAGCTACAGACCAATACAAATATCTCTCATGATATGAATGCAAAATACTCAGGAAGATACTAGCAAACTGAATCCAGCAACATACAAGAAAAATTATACACCATGGCTAAATGGGATTTATCCCTGGGATGCAAGGTCACACCATGGCTAAATGAGATTTATCCCTGGGATGCGAGGTTGTTTAATGTCTCAAAATCAATCAATGTAACATACCATATAAACAGAATTTTAAAAAATAGCATGATTATAAAATAGATACAGAAAAAAGCACTTGATAAACTTCACCATCCTTTGATGAGAAAAACACTTAATAAGATAGCAAGAGCAGGAAACTTGCTCAATCTCTTAAGGGCATCTGTGAAGAATCCACAGTTAACATCATACTTAGTGGGAAAAAATAAAAAGCATTCATATTGGAAAATAAGAAACAAATTATCTCTATTCACAGATGATATGATCTTATATATAAAAAACACTAAGAAATATGTTAAACAACTGCCAGCTCAGCGAGGCTGCAGGATACAAGGTCAACACCCAAAAATCAGTGTCAAGTGTGGTAGCTCACATCTGTGATTTCAGCACTTTGGGAGGCCCAGATCAGCCTGATCAACATGGTGAAACCCCGTTTCTACTAAAAATACAAAAATTAGCTAGGCGTGGTGGTGGGAGAATCACTTGAACCTGAGAAACAGAGGTTGCAGTGAGCCAAGATTGCTCCACTGTATTCCAGCCTGGGTGACAGAGTGAGACTCTGTCTCAATAAATAAATAAAGTATTTCTACATATTTGCAATAAACAAGTCAAACACGAAATTAAGAAAACAATTCTATTTATAATAGCATCAAAAAGAAAATACATAGGACTCGATTTGGCAAAAGAAGTATAAAAGTTATACTCTGAAAACTATAAAACATTATTTTTGTTTTGTTAAAGATGTAAATCAATGGAAAAGCATCATATGTTCATGAATCCAAAGTCCATGATCCACTTGTGTTAATATTGTTAACATGAAAATACTCCCCAAATCAATCTACAGACTTGTCTACTCTCAAGCTAACTTCCTTGTAGACATTCACAGGTTGACAATAAAAACAATATTTAATTACAAGGAACCCAGAATAGCCAAAACAAAATTTAAAAAGAGGAACAAAGTTGGTTGACTCATAGTTCCCAATGTAAAGATTTACTGCAGTGCTACAGTAACCAAGACTGTGTGGTACAGGCATATAAATAGAGAAATGAATCAATAAAGTAAAATTGAGAGTCCAGAAATAAACCCACATATCTGTGTTCAATTTATTTCTCACAAGGTTGCTGAGACCATTCAATGAGAAAAAAATTATGTCCTTAGCAGATGGTGTGGGGGCAACTGAGAATCTACATACAAAAGAATAAAACTGACCCCTACCTCACACCATATGCAAAAATTAAATGCATTGAAGAATTACATGTACCAAAATTATAAAACTCTTAAAAGAAAACATGTGGGTAAGTCTTCATGACCTTGGATTTGGTGTTGGATTCTTGGATATGACACCAAAAGTACAAGCAACAAAATTAAAAAAAAGATAAATTGAACATCATCATGGTTTAAAGGTTTTGTGCTCTAAAGGGTTCTACCACGAAAGTAAAAGGAAAGCCCAGAGAATAGGAGCAAATATTTGCAAATCATTAATCTGATAAGGGGCTCATCAAATATATGAAGAATTCTTTTCAACAGAGCAATACAAAGTCCATTAATTCATGAAAAACCGGGCAAAAAATTTAAATGAACATTTCTCCAAGGAAGACGCACAAATGGCCAATATACACATGAGAAACGTTCCACACCACTGTTCATCAGGGAAGTGTACCTCAAAACCTTAATCAGACACCACTTCATGACCTTGAGGATGGCTAGAGCCAAAAAGTCAGATGACAAGTGTTGGCAAGGAGGTGATGAAATCACAACCATTGCACACCACTGGCAGGAATGTAATGCTGCCAGCAACCTTGGGAAACAGGCTGGCGGTCCCTCGAAAACTTAACTGCATGATGCAGGAATCCACTCCTAAGGGCATCCACAGGAGAAACGAAAACACGCATCCACACCACCCACACAAAAGCGCATACAGGAATCCATGAATGCCTGTAGTGACGTTATTCTTAAGAGCCAGATGGTGGAAGCAATGTACACGTCCAGCAGCTGAGGAAAGGCCAGTCCACCGTGGCAGGCCCATACTGTGGAGTATTATTTGATCATCAGAAGGAAGGAAGTGCTGGCACAAGCCGCAGCATGGATAAATCTTAAAGACATTCTCAGCAAAAAAAAAAGCCAGTCACAAAAGACAAATACACCCTATGATTTCCTCTGCATGGGAAGTGCAGGAGAGGCAAATTCCTAGAGACAGAAAGGAGCGTAGTCCCTGCTTAGTGCTGGGCTGATGCAGGGTCCAGGGTGATAGGTGACGAATACAGGGCCTCCTCCGAAGTGAGGAAAGTGTCCTAACATTGCCTGCACTTATCTGCGAATCTACCAAAAACCATCAAATGATACGCTAAATGGGTGAGTTGTAGGGCATGTAAGTTACATCTCAATAAAACTGTTAGTAACTGTGAGTCATGGCTGGGCTCGGGAGATCACACCTGTAATCCCAGCATTTTGGGGGACTGAGGCAGGAGGATCAAGACCAGCCTGGGCAATATAGTGAGATTCCCAACTGTACAAAAAAAATTGTTTTTAATGGTGGCACACACCTGTGGTTCCAGCTGCTTGGAGGCTGAGGTGGGAGGGTAGCTTGAGCCTGGCAGGTTGAAGCTGCAGTGAGCCATGATTGTGCCACTGAACTGCAGCCTGGATTACAGAGCAAGATCCAGGCTCAACATAAATAAATAAATAAAATGTTAAAAGTATGGTGCATGACAGAAAGTGAAGACATAGAAAACAGAACCAGTCTTTGAGGTGACCCATGTGTTGGAGTTGTCCACATGATGAATATTGGAATCAGCCTCGAGAAAAAGAACCAAGATCATGAAGGCTTTAACCTGAACGTCGGCATTTATATTTTTAACAAATGGAAGTCAGGGAACTGGAAAATGTTGACACTGAGAACTCAGTGGTTGGGGTTTGCTGCAGGTTAGAAGGAGGAGGAGGGAGGATGGGTGCACATGGAGAGACCAGTACAGAGCCACACTCAGAACGTCACACGGTCAGAGCAGCGATGCAGCAAGAAGGGCTTTCCTTTGTTAATCAGTGGTGCTGAGATGGAAATGCAGTTCATCTTCATCTAGTTCAGAAGGACCTGCTGCACAGATACGGCACGCACTGTCCCAGAAACCGTGGGGAGGGGACAGGCACAAACATTACTGTCTTCTCCCCTCCAAACTAGCAGGCAGAGGATGGGATGGGGCTTGTGTGTCAGATTTGGGATTGATGGCACTTCAGGTCTTAGACAAATGAGTCTACAAAGTGCCCTTTTCAGACGTGATCTTATTGTTAGCTCTTCCTGCCAAAGGGTGCCAACATATAAACTCTGAGCACTAGACCCTCCATTCCAGGAACTGGCTGTGCAAAGCCCTAGCAAATGGTCACACAGACTCTCTCATACTGCCAGTGACAGGGACCTCACTACCTAGCAAGGCAAGCCACTCTTGATCTCAAGGAAACCCAAGGAGTCCTTGACAAATGCTGCCCCTCAACCTGTGCTCTCGTTGGTACTGGGGACCTCACGAGGGAAAACGAGGCTATTCTAACACGAAGAGCAGAAAGTGCCACTGACCTTGGCTGGAAGACTGGGAACTCTCAAAGTTACGACGATGGAAAATTCTTCAGGGAAGAGGTCACACCGGGAGAAAATCCTGGCTGCAGGGAAGCTCATGGTGTGGGGGGCGGCTGCGGAGAGCTGGAGTCCCCGCGCACCGTGAACCTGAACGACCCTGATCCCGCTCGTGGCGCCATCGGAAGGGACCACCTCCTCCAGGACGTCCAGGGGCCGCAGGTCTGTGGCAAAGAAATCACAGGTGGGTTAGGCCAGGACACCCCCACGAGTGGATGCTCATGACAGCCAACATGTATGGGGCGCCAGCATGGCAGGCTGTTTCCTAGCACGATGGACCCTGTGAGCTGTGAACCATGCTTATCTCTGCTTCGCCAGTGATGAAACAGAGATAAAAGTTCACATATCTGTGAACCTACCAAAAACCATCAGATTATGCACTTCAAATGGGTGAGTTGTAGGGCATGTGAATTCCATCTCAAACTGTTAGTAAGTATGAGTCATGGCTGGGCGTGGGGGAATCACACCTGTAATCCCAGCACTTTGGGGGACTGAGGCAGGAGGATCAAGACCAGCCTGGGCAATATAGTGAGATCCCATCTCTACAAAAAAATTTTTTTTAATTCGCCGGAAGAAGCTCCATGAGGCGTTCCTGTGTGGCCTCCCTCCACACCCTGCTCCTGGGGGATTTTGCACGCCTGCCTCTGAGCTGCAGGTAACATTCCGCACATTGCTGCTATTTTCGAGTCAGCAGCCAAAGACACTGTGCAGGGTAAGCTGTGCCAGATGAAGGAAGGAACGCAGGGGGACCCCCAAGGAAACGCAGGAAGTGGCTGGGAGAGAGACCACACAGGCCCAGCTCCCATCTCCTGGCCTCCCTTGGGTCCCTGTGCTGCCCTTGGGCACTGTGGGAGGCTGGAACTACTGTGGAGCTGGCAATGCCTTTCCCTCGTCCCCATCCGGGCTTGCAGGGGTAGCGGTTAAGCTCCTGGGAGTTCAAAGTCAGTGGGAACATAACTGATGGGCTGGCCTGGCCTCTGAGGCTGGATGGCAGGGAGGAAAATAGGGAGTGGGGAGGGCCTTCCAGGCTGGGAGAGGGCTCCAAGCCAGATCCCTGGCCCGGGCTGAGTGGCTGTGAGCAGAGCCTGAGGCTGAGGCCTGGACCCCCCTCAGCCAGGCCACTGTAGCTGGCCCCAGCCTGGGTAAATGCGGAGCGTGGCTGAATGAAGCAGGTTTCTGGAGCTGTGTCCCTTGGTATTGTTGAGGGGTCTCCTGCCTCAGCCTGGCCTGGAGGTGTTGGGGTCAGTCCACTCAGTTGGCATTCAGTCCATGTTCATCTTCCCCCACATACCCGTCCTGGCCGGCCTTGCCCGGGGGTGTCATGGATTCCCTGTGAAGGCCTTTGAAAGGCCTTGGTCAAAGATCTCAAGCAGAGGCCTTCCTCCCTGGCCCGCCTGTGCGTGATGGGACCCCAGTGAGCGGCCGGAGAGCGGGACTGCACTCCAGGCCAGGAGAAGGCAGCCCTTCCTCGCACTGCCATGTGCATGCAGTGCCACCGCTGCAGTGACACTTGGGTCCTTGATGTCCTCCAGAGAGTATGAGCACCTGGGGCAGAGCAGGTCTGCAGAAGAGCCTACCCTAGAGAAGCATCCCTGTCTGCACACAGGCGCACGTGAGGGTGTGAATGGCACAGGCGCAAGTCAGGCTGTGGACAGTGCCCAAGGGCAGCACAGGGACCCAAGGGAGGCTTCTGTTAGAAAAAGCGGAGGTGACCCAGACATGCAGCAGGAACAGCCAGCAATCCTGGCTGCTGGATACATCGTGAGCATCAATGCTGCATGGGCACGGCCCAGGCATAGAGCGGGAAGATGTGGCAGGACCCACTGTGGGCCAAGGATGGAAAAGACACGCAGGGCCCAGGGCAGGGGGGCGGGGGGCGGTGACACACAGCACCAGAGAGTGTGGGGACCTGCAGATGGGGGAGCACTGTGAAGAGAGGGTGACCTGCTTTAGAAAAGAAGACAGGAGATTGTATATTATTGTTATTATTTATGCAATTCAATAGTAACAAAAGGTAGAGTGTGAGGAGGCTTTGTCACTTCTTGGAAAGACCCTGTGCTATAAAACGTGCCATGACATAGGGACAGCAATGGTGGACACTGTATAGAGGGGTCTATGTACAGTAAGCACCCCCAGTGGAGGCTGCTGTGTGTCTGGGGGGGTCCCAGGCTGACTCTGGGAGGATTCTGGCATCTTGGTGTGGGGGGATTCTGTGCCTCAGGGTTCTGATGTCGGCCCAAGCCTCAGGCTGGCTGGGGTGGGGGATGAGACCACATTCTGTGGGGGCATTGTGTCCTGGGTGCCCTGGAGAGAGTGGGTCCCTAAGTAAACCCCATGTACCCTCACTGCCCCTCCCCTCAGTCTCAGAGAGACATTGCTTCATGGCACCTCCTGGTGCTGGGCTCACCTTGGGGGTTTAGCTCGAGTACAACCAGGGGCCACCCCCTTACTGAGAAAACGTGGGGGCCACCATCTGGAAGGTGCCCTGGCTAGCATTCAGGATGAGCCTCTGCCCTGCTGATCCCAGGGACGGACAGCCCATTGCTCGCTGGGCTTTGGCAATCAGGAAGCAGAATTCTGCCCATTCCAGCAAGAGCCTCTTCCTCCAGTGTTTGATTAAGATAGCCTCTTCCTGGCTCCCCGACCCGACACCTGCGATCTAGCCAGCTTTCCTGTGTGTCTCTCAGCCTCCTGGGAGTGGAAACCCAAGGGCGGATGAGTCCCGGACACAGCGTCAGCAATGCTGGGTGGGGGCCTCTGGAGGCTGACCTGCCCCCATAGCCACCTTGTGTGGGGGTCCTCCTTGACTCCATCATCTGTGAGGCACGGTGCAGAAAGCAGGAGTTGCGGAATTACAGAAGGCGCTGCAGAGACCAGCTCACTCACAGCCTCGGGGACACGTGGGGCGCAGCCACCAGGACGGAGCAGGAGCGAGCGCTGGTATTGAATCCAACCCAGGAGCTCTGCCTTGAGAAACGAGAGAACCACGAGGGAAAGGAACCCACAGCAAGCAAAGGGAAGGGCGGGGCAGAGTCCAGGCACTTGAAAACCAAAGGAAAATAGAGAAAACTGATGAAACCCAAGCCGGTTCTTTGAGATGAATCCAATTGATAAACGTTGGTTAAGACTGACCGAGAAGAAAAGGGCAGGGGACAAACAAGTCACCAGCAGAGAACAGAAGGGGCTGTTGCTGAACAATTGTCAGAAATTAAAAGGCTGACAAGGGAATTCCATAAACGGCGCCACGTGTATGTATTCCAAACCTCAGCTAATGTGGACCGATTCCTTGAGAGGCACAGGTGCCAGATCTCACTGAAGAAGGAAAGATCACTGGCAGGTCCAGTACCTAACAAGGACAGCTTCCAACACAGAAAGACTACCGTTTCCCGTAAACTCCACCAATCCCTTAAAGAAGACAGTGTCGACCCTGAGCCACCTCTTTCAGAAGACAGAAGAGGAGAAAGCTCACCAACTCTTCTGAAGGCAAAGTTACCACACCAGAAAGGCATTACAACCAGAGAAAACCACAGACCAATCACCTGCATAAATGTAGACGCAAAATTCCTCAGTGGAATATTACCAATAAAATCCAGCAACATAGAGAAAGGGCGATACATTGTAGAGGTGGGGTCTGGCTATGCTGCCCAGGCTGATCTCGAACTCCTGGCCTCAAATGATCCTCCTGCCTTGGCCTCCTGAAGTGCTGGAATTACAGGTGTGAGCCAACATATTCAGCCTAGAAGGGAACTTTTCAAACCAGACAATACTAGTCTGGAGAAACTAGCACCAACACAGTTCTTAGTGGGAAAGGCCCTCCCTCTGAGACCAGGTGGGCGTTAGTGCACATTGCGGCCCCCTTGCTGTCCCCCGGGGGCTGGGGAAGCAACACCCCACCAGCGTGAGCACAGCAAACACCTTCATCCACCAAGAGGGAGCAGGGCGTCCAGGAGAAGCGTCTGATTCCAGGGATGAAAGTGGGCAACTATGAGACGCACTTGGACCCCAAGGTAAGAAAGGTCAGGGAGGGACAGCGGATTGAAAGGGCAGCAGGGCTGAAATGAAAGAGCTCGATGCCAACACTGGAATCACTGCAACCACGAAATACACAGCGACCATACTGGATTATATCTCAAGTCGTAAATATGCAGTCCACCCGAGATAAATACACAAGGAAGCAAACAGGCACACAGAAGAGCAGGACAGCTCCTCCTCCCGGGAGAATCTCAATCAGTGAGTGTGGAAGGAACAGGGGCAGGGAGGAGAATCCTCAACAGAGCCCCACAGGGACTGCACAGGCCAGGCCCCCGGGGGCCATACCACTGGGCAAACACAGAACAGCCGCCAGGTCTCAGACATGACCAACTACAGAGGGACACAGCGGCCCGCCGGGGATGGGATGCGGCCGTCACCTCCGTGTCCCGTGCGCTGCTCCTGTGGGATTCCTCCCCCGACACAATGCTGGCCCTGGCGACAAGGAAACCTCAGGCAAGCGACTGCAAAGCACCCCGCCAGTCAAGGTCGTCGAGGCCAAGGAGTGACTGGGAGACTGTCACAAAACCGAGCATCCCAAGGAGACCTTTCGGCCAATGCCATGCTGGGTCCTGAATGGAGCCCACGGGAAGCTGGTGCACCGGCCTGAAGCCCACGCTGGGTGAGAAGAAATGGACTAGGGCCGAGTTCTCAGAGCTGAGAACCAACCTGCGGTGGCATCAGGAAGCTGGTGAAGGGCGATGTGGACTCTGCTTTTCAGCCACTATTGCCTGAAACCATCCCACAAGCCAAGGCTGCTGAATGCCCAGTGCGGGGCACCTGTCGTCCTGTGCTGCACTCTGCGCCCCATGCTCCACCTGCCCCAGGCCCCAGTTGTCGAGGAAGATGCCTGCTGCGCCCACCTCCTCATCCGGGTTCTGTACCATGTCGGCCTTCCCGTCCCGGGCTCTGCCACCGTGTCTGTTTGCTGTGGGTTGAATTGTGCTCCTCAAACGGTGCCAAAGTACATGTGACTGTGACCCTCTAAGGAAATGGGGTCTTTGTGGGTGCTCACGTGAAGAGGAGGCTGTTAGGATGGACCCTACTATAATATGTTTGGTGTCCTTATAAAAAGGGGAGATTTGGACACACACACACACACACACACAGCTACACACAGCTACACACACACGCAACTACACACACCCCTACACACCTAGCTATACACACACACACGCAACTACACACACACCCCTACATACCTACACACACAGCTTCACACACAGACAGCTACACACACACACGCAACTACACACACACCCCTACACACCTACACACACAGCTTCACACACACACAGCTACACACACATGCAACTACACACACACCCCTACACACCTACACACACAGCTTCACACACACACAGCTACACACACACACGCAACTACACACACACCTAGCTACACACAACTACACACCTACACACCTAGCTACACACACACAACTACACACACACCCCTACACACCTACACACACAGCTACACACACACACAGCTACACACACATGCAACTACACACACCCCTACACACCTACACACACAGCTACACACACACACAGCTACACACACCCCTACACACCTACAAACACAGCTTCACACACAACTACACACACACACACACACACACACACACTGAGAAGCTGTGTGAAGATAAAGGCAGAGCTCAGGTGAGGCCTCTGAAAGCCAAGCACCCCGAAGATAGCAGCAGCCCACAGCAGTGAGGGGAGCAGTGCGTGACAGCGGCCCTCGCAGCCTCGGAAGGAACCCACCTTGCCCACACCCTGATCTCTGAGACATGGAGTTTCTATCGTGTAACCAGCCAGAGTGTGGTACTGCTTGTCAAGGAAGCCCAAGGGAAGAAACACATTACTGCATAAAAATCACAACTCACATTATCTTTATTTAGAATCCAAATGAACCTCTCCCTAACCTTCGAATCATAGAGGCACGTGATCTTGATCAGCAGCCTAGAAACCCAGGGCCCCGCAGAGCCAGCGCAGTCACCGCTCCCCAGAGCCCAGCACAGCCAGACTGCGCCGCTCTCCACGTGAGCCTGGGGAGCAAGCGACACAGCCTGAACTGCACCCCAGCTCCTCCTCCTGAGTCTGTAACACACACATGTGCCCCAGGCCAGTCCCAAGAGTTTTGTAAACTGAGCAACAATTCTTGGGAAACAAAAACACAACTACTGTTTATCCTCCCGGAGCCGGCTGTGCACCCCAACAAGGAAGAGAGGGCTTGCTGAGCCTCCTGTCCAGACAACACACGCCAGGGACGAGTATAAAAGCCCCACACACCCGAGCACCTCACTCACTCCCTCACCCACTCACTCCCATCGCCCCCAGCGCCACTCCCAGCACAGCCACATTCACGATGTCCGTCTGCTCCAGCAACCTGAGCTACGGCAGCCGCGTCTGCCTGCCCGGCTCCTGTGACTCTTGCTCCGACTCCTGGCAGGTGGAAGACTGCCCAGAGAGCTGCTGCCAGCCCCCCTGCTGTGCCCCGAGCTGCTGTGCCCCGGCCTCCTGCCTGACCCTGGTCTGCACCCCAGTGAGCTGTGTGTCCAGCCCCTGCTGCCAGGTGGCCTGTGAGCCCAGCCCCTGCCAATCGGGCTGCACCAGCTCCTGCACACCCTCGTGCTGCCAGCAGTCTAGCTGCCAGCCTGCTTGCTGCACCTCCTCCCCCTGCCAGCAGGCCTGCTGTGTGCGCGTCTGCTGCAAGCCCGTCTGCTGCAAGCCTGTGTGCTGTGTGCCCGTCTGCTGCAAGCCCCTCTGCTGCGTGCCAGTGTGCTCTGGAGCTTCTTCCTCATGCTGCCAGCAGTCCAGCTGTGTGCCTGTCTGCTCTGGGACTTCCTCACTGTGCTGCCAGCAGTCTAGCTGCCAGCCGGCTTGCTGCACCACCTCCTGCTGCAGACCCTCCTCCTCTGTGTCCCTGCTTTGCCGCCCCGTGTGCAGGCCTGCCTGCTGCGTGCCCGTCCCCTCCTGCTGTGCCCCTGCCTCCTCCTGCCAGCCCAGCTGCTGCCGTCCGGCCTCCTGCGTGTCCCTCCTCTGCCGCCCCACATGCTCCCGCCCAGCCTGCTGAGGCCTCTGCTTAGGCCAGAAGCCCAGCTGCTGACGGGCATGTCCCTCAGGGCCAGCCAGGCTCAGGTCCCCCCTAAAAGCTGATAGTCACATCCTGAATTGCTCCTGTACTTTGACCATTTCCTGGTGTCTGCTACTGAGCTGGACAATGGAAGAACTGAATGTCTAAACTCAATGCTGCAGCCCTCTTGATGGGGGGTGGTTCTAGAAAGTTCTCATGACAGTGGCCTCCCCTCCTTATGTCCCACCTCTCATGAGGGTCAGCTCAGCCTTGATCCATGAGGTCTCTGTCCCCCTGACTCAGAGCCCCAGAACGTTCTTTGGGTGCCCTCAAACTGACCAATAAAAGCCCTGAGACTGCACTGGCTTCCTGGTGTGTTGACGGGATACCTTGGCTGGACCTCATGGCCGTGGTTTTCTCCCTTGTACACAGCCCTTTGCTGTCCTTCAGGCTCTGGAGTGTTTTCCTATGCCCATGGGTGTGTGGCTCCCAGGGGTCCAGGCTGGACGGACTCGGGCAGGGGAGCCTCGGGTGTGTGGCTCCCAGGGTCCAGGCTGGACGGACTTGGGCAGGGGAGCCTCAGGTGTGTGGCTCCCGGGGGTCCGGGCTGGACGGACTTGGGCAGGGGAGCCTCAGGTGTGTGGCTACCAGGGTCCAGGCTGGACGGACTTGGGCAGGGGAGCCTCAGGTGTGTGGCTCCCGGGGGTCCAGGCTGGACGCACTCGGGCAGGGGAGCCTCGGGTGTGTGGCTCCCGGGGGTCCAGGCTGGACGGACTTGGGCAGGGGAGCCTCGGGTGTGTGGCTCCCAGGGGACCAGGCTGGACGGACTTGGGCAGGGGAGCCTCGGGTGTGTGGCTCCCAGGGGTCCAGGCTGGATGGACTCGGCATGGGAGCCTCGCAGCCCTTTGGACACTTTGGGCCCTGCGGTTTCTCCCTAACCCTCCTGTGTCCTTAGTTGCATAATAGTTCTTTCTGCTGATTTGCTTTTTAAATTCTCCTTCTTCTGCACAATACCTGTCAAATCAAGAATGTTGTCTTCTAGCGCCATGCTTGCCCAGAGCATGTCCAAACGCCCTCTTAGCATCACCGTCAGTGGTCTTTGTCTATGTCACCCACTATGCTCTTGCGTATGGTGCAGACACCGCTGACGTGGCGGGGGGAACACAGGCTGGTGCTTAGAATATGGGGTGGGGGGTGGGGAGGGAGGCTGGCAATGGAAATGGGTGGGAGGAACGCAGGCTGGTGCCTAGAATGTGGGGTGGGGGGGTGGGGAGGGAGGCTGGCAATGGAAATGGGTGGGAGGAACACAGGCTGGCGCTTAGAATGTGGGGTGGGGGGGTGGGGAGGGAGGCTGGCAATGGAAATGGGTGGGAGGAACATAGGCTGGCGCTTAGAATGTGGGGTGGGGGGTGGGGAGGGAGGCTGGCAATGGAAATGGGTGGGGGGAACACAGGCTGGAGCTTGGAATGAGGGGTCGGGAGAACGCAGACTGGTGATTGGAAGTGGGGGAGGAACGCAGGCTGGCGATTGAAATCGGCAGGTGAAGGAACGCACAGATGTCCCAGGGTGGGTGAAGGTGGCAGTTGGAATGCTGAGGAAGACACAGACTGGTGACTGGAATCAGATCGCTGTTACTTCTACCCTGTGCGAGCAGAATCATATCCTCAATCCCTCTGGCCTCTCTAAGGTCCAAGAAGTAGGACTCGCTCTTTCAGTTTTCCAAATGGAGTGGCAAGAATGATGCACAGAGCACGTTATGACCACATGGGGCCAGTGGACTGGCCGGAGCTGGACAGTCTGAGGACTTTTGGGCATTTTAAGAAATCTTTAAAAATTATATCTGGAATAATGATGTGTTGTAACCACTGAAGGAAGTGCTAACTATTCCAATGATTATAAAACATATTCGTAAAGCAATGATGATAAGATCAGAAAGAATTTCCATGCACAGGTGTCAGAGAGTGGCCCAGGAACTCAGCTGCAGCGGAGGTGGAGTTGTGGAGGACAGACCCAGAGCACCGACCACACAGAGTCACAGTCCTGGGGTGAAAGGGAGTGCGCACCTCACGAGTGAAGAGACACACGGATGTCCCAGGGTGGGTGAGAGCGTGCAGCTCAGGGTTGAATAAACACATATATGTCCAGAGTGGGTGAGGATGTGCCCCTCATGGGAGAACGTGCCCATGGTTTTGGGCAATACAACTCAGTGTGTTGATTGCAACCCATGGAACCGAGAGTTAGGATAACTCCAGAGAAGGGAGATTCTGTGGAAGAGCCTTCGTTAAACTACAGTGCTGTTCCCTGTCACATGAGCTGAGGTCACTCCTGGCTGAGGTCCTTTGTGTCTTTACCAAAACATACTCTTCAGAAAGTAGTTTTCTATGAGGTGTACAGAAACGTTGAGAAACCATTATAAACCAAGCTGACTTGATGGATATTTATACAATATACCATCCAACAACAGCAAGATGCATATTGTTAAGAGTGCACACAGAACATGCACCAACATAAACCACAGAAGAGGCCTAAGAGCAAGTCTCAGCATCCTCAGGAGAGCTGAAATGACGGCGGGGCTGTGTGTGCTGCTTCACCACTCAGAATTGGAAATCATTAACAGAAAGACATTTAGAAAACTGTCATATACTTGAAATTAAACAACACACTTTAAGCTCTATGAGTAAAAATATAAACCACAGTGGAAATTATGAAATATCTTGGATAAAATGAAAATGAAATCACCACATATCAATATTTGTGGGATGCAGCTAACAAAGCATATAGAGGAAAATGTATAGTAATTTGCTTTACTAGATCTCTCGGCAGAAACCCTACAAGCCAGAAGAGAGTGGGGGCCAATATTCAACATCCTTAAAGAAAAGAACTTTCAATCCAGAATTTCATATCCAGCCAAACTGAGCTTCATAAGTGAAGGAAAAATAAAATCCTTTGTAAACAAGCAAGTACTCAGAGATTTTGTCACCACCAGGCCTGCTTTACAAGAGCTCCTGAAAGAGGCACTACACATAGAAAGGGACAACCAGTACCAGCCATTCCAAAAACATACCAAATGCTAAAGAGCATCAATAAAATGAAGAATCTGCATCAACTAATGGGCAAAACAGCCAGCTACCATCAAAATGGCAGTATCAAATTCACACATAACAATATAAACCCTAAATGTAAATGGGCTAAATGCACGGATCAAAAGACACAGACTGGCAAACTGGATAAAAAGCCAAAACCCATCGGTGTGCTGTATCCAGGAAACCCATCTCACATGCAAAGATACACAAAGGCTCAAAATAAAGGGATGGAGGAAGATTTACCAAGCAAATGGAGAGCAAAAAAAAGCAGGAGTTGCAATTCTCATCTCTGATAAAATAGACTTTAAAGCAACAAAGATCAAAAGAGACAAAGAAGGACATTACATAATGGTAAAAGAATCGATACAACAAGAAGAGCTAATGATCCTAAATATATATGGACCCAATACAGGAGCACCCAGATATGTAAGGCAAGTTCTTAATGACTTAAAAGAGACTTAGACTCCCACACAATAATAGTGGGAGACTTTAACACTCCACTGTCAATATTAGACAGATCAACCAGACAGAAAATTAACAAGGATATCCAGGGCTTGAACTCAGACCTGGAGCAAGCAAACCTGATAGACATTTACAGAACTCTCAACTCCAAATCCACAGAATATACATTCTTCTCAGCACCACATCACACCTACTCTAAAATTGACCACATAATTGGAAGTAAAGCACTGCTCAACAAATGCAAAACAACTGAAATCATAACAAACAGCCTCTCAGACCATAGTGCAATCAAGTTAGAACTCAGAATACAGAAACCGACCCAGAACCACACAGCTTCATGGAAACTGAACAACTGGCTCTTGAATGTTGACTGGATAAACAATGAAATGAAGGCAGAAATAAAGAAGTTCTTCGAAACCAACGAGAACAAAGACACGACATACCAGAATCTCTGGGACACATTTAAAGCAGTCTCTAGAGGAAAATATATAGCAATAAGTGCCCACATGAGAAGAGTGGAGAGATCCAAAATTGACACCCTATTGTCAAAATTGAAAGAGCTAGAGGAGCAAGATCAAAAAAACTCAAAACCTAGCAGAAGACAAGAAATAACTAAGATCAGAGCAGAGCTGAAGGAGATAGAGACACAAAAAAACCCTTCAAAAAATCAATAAACCCAAGAGCTGGTTTTTTGAAAAGATCAACAAAATAGACAGACCACAAGCCAGACTGATAAAAAATAAAAGAGAGAATAACCAAATAGATGCAATAAAAAAACAATAAAGGGGAAATCACCACAGATTCCACAGAAATTCAAACCATCATCAGAGAATATTACAAACAACTCTATGCACATAAACTAGTAAACCTGGAAGAAATGGATAAATTCCTGGACACCTGTGTCCTCCCAAGCCTAAACCAGGAGGAAGCTGAAACTATGAATAGACCAATAACAAGGTCTGAAGTAGAGGCAGCAATTAAGAGCCTACCACACAAAAAAAGCCCAGGTCCAGACGGGTTCACAGCCAAATTCCACCAGACACACAAAGAGGAGCTGGTACCATTCCTTCTGAAACTATTCCAAATATTCCAAAAAGAGGGAATCCTTCCCAAATCATTTTATGAGACCAACATCATCCTGATACCAAAACCTGGCAGAGACTCAACAAGAAAAGAAAACTTCAGGCCAATATCCATGATGAACATAGATGCAAAAATCTTCAATAAAATACTGGCAAGCCGATTTCAACAGCAAATCAAAAGTCTTATCCATCATGATCAAGTAGGATTCATCCCGGGGATGCAAGGCTGGTTCAACATACGCAAGTCTATCAACGTAATTCACCACATAAACAGAACCAAAAACAAAAACCACATGATTATCTCAATTGACGCAGTGAAGGCCTTTGACAAAATTCAACAGCCCTTTATGCTAAAAACACTCAGTAATCTTGATATTGATGGAATGTATCACAAAATAATAAAAGCTATTTACGACAAGCCAACAGCCAATATCATACTGAACGGGCAAAAACTGGAAGCATTCCCTTTGAAATCCGGCACTGGACAAGGATGCCCTCTGTCACCACTCCTATTCAATATAGTACTGGAAGTTCTAGCCAGACCAATCAGGCTAGAAAAAGAAATAAAGGGTATTCAAATAGATAAGGTGGAAGCCAAATTGTCTCTATTTGCAGACGACATGATTGTGTATCTAGAAGACCCCATCACCTCAGCCCAAAAACTCCTGAAACTGATAAGCAACTTCAGCAAAGTCTCAGGATATAAAATCAATGTGCAAAAATCACAAGCTTTCCTCTACACCAATAACAGACTTAAAGAAAGCCAAATCAAGAATGAACTGCCATTCACAATTGCTACAAAAAGAATAAAATACCTTGGAATACAACTCACAAGGAACGTAAAGGACCTCTTCAAGGAGAACTACAAACCACTGCTCAACGAAATAAGAGAGGACACAAACAGATGGAGAAACATTCCATGTTCATGGTTAGGAAGAATCAATATCGTGAAAATGGCCATACTGCCCAAAGTAATTTACAGATTCCATGCTATCCCCATCAAGCTACCACTGACTTTCTTCACAGAACTGGAAAAAACCACCTTGAACCTCATATGGAACCAAAAGAGAGCCCACATAGCCAAGTCAATTCTAAGCAAAAAGAACACAGCAGGAGGCATCACACTACCAGACTTCAAACTATACTACAAGGCTACAATAATCAAAACAGCATGGTACTGGGACCAAAACAGAGATATAGACCAATGGAACAGAACAGAGGCATCGGAGGCAACACAACATATCTACAATCATACAATCTTTGATAAACCTGACAAAAACAAGCCATGGGGAAGGGACTCCCTGTTTAATAAATGGTGTTGGGAAAACTGGCTAGCCATGTGCAGAAAGCAGAAACTGGACCCCTTCCTGACACCTTACACTAAAATTAACTCCAGATGGATTAAAGACTTAAACATAAGACCTGGCACCATAAAAACACTAGAAGAAAATCTAGGCAAAACTATCCAGGACATAGGAGTAGGCAAGGACTTCATAACCAAAACACCAAAAGCATTGGCAACAAAAGCCAAAATAGACAAATGGGACCTAATGAAACTCCACAGCTTCTGCACGGCAAAAGAAACAGTCATTAGAGTGAATCGGCAACCAACAGAATGGGAAAAAATTTTTGCAGTTTACCCATCTGACAAAGGGCTGATATCCAGAATTTACAAAGAACTCAAAGAGATTTACAAGAAAAAAACAAGCCCATTCAAAAATGGGCAAAGGATATGAACAGATATTTTACAAAAGAAGACATACATGAGGCCAACAAACATGAAAAAATGCTCATCATCACTGGTCATTAGAGAAATGCAAATCAAAACCACATTGAGATACCATCTCACGCCAGTTAGAATGGCAATCATTAAAAAATCTGGAGACAACAGATGCTGGAGAGGATGTGGAGAAATAGGAACACTTTTACACTGTTGGTGGGAGTGTAAATTAGTTCAACCATTGTGGAAGACAAAGTGGAGATTCCTCAAAGACCTAGAAATAGAAATTCCATTGGACCTAGCAATCCCATTACTGGGTATATATTCAAAGAACTATTAATCGTTCTACTATAAGGACACATGCACACGAATGTTCACTGCAGCACTGTTTACAATAGCAAAGACCTGGAACCAACCCAAATGCCCATCAATGATAGACTGGACTGGGAAAATGTGGCACATATACACCATGGAATATTATGCAGCAATCAAAAATGATGAGTTTGTGTTCTTTGTAGGGACATGGATGAGTCTGAAGAACATCATTCTCAGCAAACTGACACAAGAACAGAAAATGAAATACCGCATATTCTCACTCATAGGTGGGTGATGAACAATGAGAACAATGATGGACACAGGGAAGGGAGCACTACATACTGGGGTCTATTGGGGGGAATAGGGGAGGGAAGTGGGGGGATAGCATGGGGAAGGATAGCATGGGGAGAAATGCCAAATGTGGGTGAAGGGGAGGAAGGCAGCAAAACACACTGCCACATGTGTACCTATGCAACTATCTTGCATGTTCTGCACATGTACCCCAAAACCTAAAATGCAATAAAAAATTAAATTAAATTAAAATTTCAACTGTGTTCATCCATTTTGCACTGCTGTAAAGGAGTGCCTGAGACTGGGCACTTTCTAAGGAAAGGCCCATGGTTATCTGGCTCCCGCCGGTTCTGCAGGCTGTACAAGCATGGCACCTGCTCGGTTTCTCCTGAGGTCTCACGAAGCTTTACTCATGGGGGAAGGTAAGCGGAGAGCAGTCATCACATGGTATGAGGGGAGCAAGAGAGACAGAGAGGAGGGAGTAGGAGGCTCTTATAAACAACCAGCTCTCCATGAAGAAACAGAGTGAGACTTCACTCATTACTGTGGGGAGAGCACCACACCATTCATGAGGGAACCACCGTTCCCATGACCCAATCACCCCCTCCAGGCCCCACCTCCAACACGGGATCACCTTTGAACATGAGATTTGGAGGGGACACACATCCACCATATCACCTACCAAATACAAAGTGGACAAACAGGGAAAGAAACCAAACCTAGTGTTTTTAATAGATCAACAAAATTAGCAAATTTCTAGCTTTACTATTATAAAACAAGAGAACAAATAAATTACCAATACCAGCTATTATGGTTTGTCTGTGTCTTGAATTCTCATCTTGAATTCCCACGTGTTGTGGGAGGGACCTGGTGGGAGGTAATTGAATCATGGGGCGGGTCTTTCCCATGTTGTTTTCATGATAGTGAATAAGTCTCACGAGATCTGATGGTTTTGAGAAGGGGAGCTCCCCTGCACAAGCTCTCTTCTCTTGTCTGCTGCCATGTGAGATGTGCCTTTCACCCTCCGCCATGATTGTGAGACCTCCCCAGCCATGTGGAACTGGGAGTCCATTAAACCTCTTTCTTTTGCAACTTGCCCAGTCTTGGGTATGTCTATCAGCAGCATGAAACACACTAATGCATCAGAAATGAATAAAAGGTTACCACTACAGAATCTATAGATATTAAAAGGAGACCAAATAAATAATGTAAACAACTCTATGTCAATACATTCAACAACTTAGATGAAATAGGCAAATGATTAGAAATATGTAATTTATAAAAAGGGATACAAGAAGAAACAGAAAATCTCAATAACCCTCTATCAATTGAAGAGATTGGATTCATAATCAAAACCTTTCCCACAAAGAAAATGCCAATCCAAAATGGCTTTGCTATTGAATTCTACCAAGCATTTAGGGAAGAAATAATACTAATTTAACCCAAACTTTTCCAGAAAACTGTGGTGAGGGTTGGGGAGATGCAGCATTGGCGAGGCTGCTAGGGATTAGGGGACGGAAGCTGAGGCCTCATGGGTGGCAGGAGCTTCCTTTGTGGGCTCTGGCCCTGGACATGGGTCCCTGGGATGAGAGGAGCTTGTGAGGGAACAGCCATGCCAGAGATGGGCTTGCAGGGAGGGGAACTGAACACTGACCTTTTACCCACTGGGGACAGTGCCCACTTACTGAAACACTTCCAGCCACACCGCAGCCCCCGGAAGGCCTCCTCCTAGGAAATCCCCCAGGAATTAGCTGGGTCTGGTCCAACTGTGCTCTCCAGGGTCACCCATGTCTTCCTCACATCAAAGGGACCTGATGCACAGCCCTGCAGGTGCGGACTCTGGGTCCCAAAAGCCCATGTGGAGCCTGGTGCCCCACAGCAGGACCTTGGGCAGTGCCGGGTTTCAGGAATCCTGTGTGTCCCTCCACCCCCTCCATGATACTCTTGTCCCCACTGAGCCCCCTGTCTCCCACGCAGGTGCAGCCACCTCTCACTCTCCCCTCTCGTTTCTGCTAAATGGGTAGAACCCTTAGGGGGCAGCACACAGGGAGGGTGACCAGAGGCTGTGGTGTGGGGACCCCAGAATGACTTCCCAGCAGCTGACTCTACAGGGTGGGCTCGCCCAGGTGGGACAGTGGGTGCAATGGTCCTGGGGTCTGGAGAGCCCCACAGCCCAGCTCAGGGCAGCGAATGACCAGGCTCAGGAAGACCCAGGCATGCGGCTGAGCCAGGACTGAGCCCTCCTGGTGTGGCTGTGAGTCCCACCTGGTGACCCCTACCTGATGACCCCCTGGAGGAGTTAGGCCACTGTCCCCCATGACTTTTAGGTTAAGTCACTCATTCCTAGAAACAGTCATGGCTGGAAGAGATCAATGTCATCTAAAACCATGTGTCCCCCCACGGAAGCACACAGGAGAAGAGAATCAGGTGACCAAGGAGAGTTTATTGGGAGCAGGAAGAGGTGCTGACAGGCTCAAGTCGAGGCCAAATGACCCAGGGCAGAGAAGCTGGGAGGGAGGACAGGGGCCCAGCAGCAAGTGGGCAAGTGCTGGGAGGCAGGAGCTGGGGAGCAGTGAGGATGGGGGCTCCTGGGAGCAAGGAGGGTGGTCACCTCAGCACAGTGGAGACATGGGGACCTGTCCCAGGTCCGGGCAACCTCCTAACCTGAGTCAGGACCAGCTGGCCCTGGGGGATGTGCCCAGCAGCAGGTCAACTCCTGGCCTGTGCAGAGGCCTCAGCAGGCCAGGCGGGAGCACGTGGGGCGGCAAAGGAGGGACACACAGGAGGCTGGGCGGTGGCAGCTGGACTGGCAGGAGGCCGGGGCACAGCAGGAGGGGACGGGCACGCAGCAGGCAGGCCTGCACACGGGGCGGCAGAGCAGGGACACGGAGGAGGAGGAGGGTCTGCAGCAGGAGGTGGTGCAGCAAGCCGGCTGGCAGCTAGACTGCTGGCAACATGAAGAGGAAGCCCCAGAGCAGACGGGCACACAGCTCACAGGCTTGCAGCAGATGGGCACACAGCAGACAGGCTTGCAGCAGGCCTGCTGGCAGGGGGAAGAGGTGCAGCAAGCTGGCTGGCAGCTAGACTGCTGGCAGCATGAAGAAGACTCAGAGCAAGTGGGCACACAGCACACGGGCTTGCAGCAGACGGGCACACAGCAGGCCTGCTGGCAGGGGGAGGAGGTGCAGCAAGCCGGCTGGCAGCTAGACTGCTGGCAGCATGAAGAGGAAGACTCAGAGCAGGTGGGCACACAGCAGACAGGCTTGCAGCAGACGGGCACACAACAGACAGGCTTGCAGCAGACGGGCACACAGCAGGTCTGCCGGCAGGGGGAGGAGGTGCAGCAAGCCAGCTGGCAGCTAGACTGCTGGCAGCATGAGGGCGTACAGGAGCTGGTGCAGCCTGATTGGCAGGGACTGGGCTCACAGGCCGCCTGGCAGCAGGGGCTGGACACACAGCTCACTGGGGTGCAGACCAGGGTCAGGCAGCGGGCGGGGACGCAGCAGCTGGGGGCACAGCAGGGTGGCTCACAGCAGCTCTCTGGGCAGTCTTCCACCTGCCAGGAGTCGGAGCAAGCGCTGGAGCAGACGGACATGGTGGATGCGGCCATGCTGGGGTGTGGAGGAGGTGAGCTGGAGGAGGTGTGAGTGAGTGACTGTGTGAGTGTGTGAGTGAGTGAGTGAGTGAGTGAGTGAGTGAGTGAATGAGGAGCTCTGGGCTGTGGGGCTTTTATACCCCTCTCTGGCACGTGTTTCCCAGACAGGAGGCTCCACAAGCTTCTCTTCCTCGTTGGTGTTTAGAGCTGGTGGCTGGAGATGCATCATTCATGCTGGTTTGTCTGTTTTTCCCTCATTAAACTTGTGTGTGTGTCGCAGGGCTGTTTCTTCATCAGTTTTGGTGTTAGCCCCAGAAATGTGGTGGAAAATATTTCAAGCAAGTTTTTGTTGAGTAGAGGTTTTAGGGATGAAGGCTTCTCCAAAGGAGGAATTCTAGATTCACCTATCCTGTGTTTTGACTGATTGGATATATTTTATTACTTTTAGCATCTTGAAACATAAGTATGCAGAAAAATATTCATTTCTTACAAAACGCAGCTGGCATAGAGGGTATGAGGAAACTAAGTGGCCGTCCCTTCAACCCCTCATGCCTTGTAGGGAGACTGCTGGGAGATTCAGTATCTGGCTGATCTGAGCTTTATCTTCATCTCTTCAGCTTTTCCACGCTAACCTCAGAGCCCTCTCTGTTTTATCTGAGGCAGCACTCTGGGTCTTCTCCATTTTTATTTCATCATGGTGACACATCAAGTTCTTTTTCATATATGGTGATTTTAGGACATACATTTTAAGATTTCTGGCTTGTCTGAAAATGTACTCAACTTTACCCTCACACTTATGTGGTAGTTTAGCTGGGTATATAATTCTAGTTTTATATCAGAATTATTATAAATAATAATAAAAATATGTTTTCTCAAAATGAACACATGTCACCATTTTCTGTGGTGTCCAGTGTAGCTGATGAGAGACGGAGGCTGGTCATTTGTCATTTTTTATAGTTTGTCTCTCTTTCTCTCCTTTTTTTAACTCTCTGGGAACACATGGGTAGGAGACCCCGTGGGAGACCCCACAAGTGCCGAGGCAAGGGTCTGAAGCTTCAGCCTGTTCCCAATGAATACAGAAATAGAAAAGAATTAGAGAGAGAGTTACATAGTTATTCCTATATATAAGCATAAATACAGTTATTCATGTGCAATCACAAAAGTATATTACTCAATATAACCTTTTAATTTTCCTATTGATTATCTGGTTATGAAGCATGGAACTGAGGTGACATTATGAACAACGTGATCCAAAGGCGAGATGCTCTAAGCCTCTGTCATGCCCACATAAGGGCTGCTGGAGGGCGCCTCAGCTGTGTGGCAGCACCAGCGCTGGGAAAGCGCCTGCTGTTTAGCCGGCTAGGGAAAGAGACATCCAAAATGTCTGAGATGTCTCCTTCCTTGGGGAAGTTAGGAGAAAACTTCGCTTCTCCAAGCTCTTGCAGTAGGCCTGATGGCTGTCAGGAAAGCCCACAGGCATCCGGGGGCTTAACTGTCTCTATGCGATGCTGTGCTTCAGTGGTCACGTTCCATGTCCACTCTCATGTTCCACTTCTGCACGTGGTCCCTTTTTCTTAAAAGATAAAATCAGTAATAGTAACATAAATCTTAATGCCTTTGTTCTTTCTCGACAAGTATGAGAAAAGTGCTGACACATTAGGTTTTCTCCTCGCCTCTGCTACTTGAAAGTCCTGGGCCCCCCGTCTCCAAGACACGTGATTTACCTGACGCTGTCACTGACCACCATTGCCTCACCCTGCCTTCCCTGCCCCCTGCTTTGTACCCAGTAACTGAGAGTGTCCAGGCACTCGGGACCACTGCAGGTCTCTACACTTTGGTTGGCAGTGGACCCCGAGCCCAAGCTCTGTTTTCTCTTTCTTGGTGTCATGTGTCTTTTATATGCACATTTTCTCATCTTCATACCTGCATAGAGGGGGGTTCACAGGACCTGTGGGGCTGGAGCATTTGGCTGCGTTTAGAATTCATTGAGCCTTTCAACGTGACGACTCAGGAAGTGTTTTGCACTCTTCAAAATGATTTTTATCTCTTGAGGTCTTTCCCTTTGTGACTTTGATTTTGTCTCATGATGAATGAAATACATTTTGTCTCACTGTAATGATGTTATGCTGAGCGTTTAAACATCTTCCCTCGTTTCACTGGACATCAGTTAAGCTCTGCTCATTGGTGGCCATTCATTTGATTTTCTGAATAAAGACTATTTTCTTGTAGGGCACCGGGGTCCTGATCCAATTTACACTGTAATTTGTTTCCATCTGTTTCTCTTTTCCACAAATATATAAAGGATTTTGAAGAGCCTCACTGTTTGTTAGACAATTTTGATTTCAGTTTTTACAACTCTTTAAATATTCTTTCAGTGATTATTAGTAGAGGTTGTGCAAGAACCGTGTGCTTGACCCACCTTGGGACTGAAGGACTGGATGCTGCTTTCAGGAAATGACAGGAAAGCCTGAAGGTGAGGATGACGTCATGTTAGCAGCTCTGCTGGAGAGACGCACGGCGCAGGTGTGGCCTCCACATCAGCCGCAGTGTGAGGGAGGCTCTGCTGCAGACACACACGGCGCAGGTGTGGCCTCCACATCAGCCACAGTGTGAGGGCGGCTCTGCTGCAGACACGCACGGTGCAGGTGTGGCCTCCACATCAGCCACAGTGTGAGGGAGGCTCTGCTGCAGACACGCACGGCGCAGGTGTGGCCTCCACATCAGCCACAGTGTGAGGGCGGCTCTGCTGCAGACACGCACGGCGCAGGTGTGGCCTCCACATCAGCCACAGTGTGAGGGAGGCTCTGCTGCAGACACGCACGGCGCAGGTGTGGCCTCCACATCAGCCACAGTGTGACGGGCGGCTCTGTAGCCCATTCTGGCAGATGTGGAAATGCCGGGAAGATAAATAACCTTGAAAGAGGACAGCTGGCCGGCGGTGAACCCAACAGCCAGGAACCCTCAGTCCTTTCCCACACGGCTGGAGATGGCTCCGCGCCGTCACACAGCTCCCAGAAGAGTGTGTGCTTCGTGGGTGGGAGACAGGGCGGGAGGTGGTCCTGAATCAGTGGGACGTGGGAAGGGCGACATGGCTGCTGGGACAAGCTGTGGGCCTGTGTGTTAAGTCGCCTGACTTTTCCCACAGCTGTCTCTTGCAGCCTCCTTAATCGAATGGGTGTGGTGACTTCTGCATCTCTTTACCCCTTATACCCTCTGTGCCAGCTGCATTTCATAAGACATGCGTATTTTTCTACATACTTATATTTTAAGGCACTAAAAGTGACCTGGATGAGATCAGAGACGATTATTCTAAGAGAAGTAACTCAGGAATGGAAAACCAAACATTGTAAGTTCCCGCTCACAAGTGGGAGCTAAACTATGAGGATGCAAAGGCATAAGAGTGACACACGGACTTTGGGGACTCGGGGGAAAGGGTGTGAAGTGAGTGAGGGATAAAAGAGTACCAATTGGGTGCAGTGTGTACTGCTCAGATGATGGGTGCACCAACATCTCACAAACCAACACTAAACAACTTACCATGTAACTAAACACCAGCATCTCACAAACCAACACTAAATAACCTACCATGTAACTAAACACCAGCATCTCACAAACCAACACTAAATAACCTACCATGTAACTAAACACCAGCATCTCACAAACCAACACTAAATAACCTACCCATGTAACTAAACACCACTCGTTCCCTAATAACCTATAGAAATAAAACATGGAGTCCCACCACACGCAGCCCCTCATCGAGCATCATGCTTTCAATGATGCACGTTGTAGCCCGTGTCAGCATTTCAGTCCTTTTCAAGGCTTAATAATATTCCCCATGGGAATGGGCCACATTTTGCTTGTGTGAATGGGCTGTTTTGCTTGTCCATTCATCCTCAAATGGACATTTGGGCTCTTTCCACTTCTTGGCTAATGTCAGTGCTGCTGTGTACATGGCCCACAAATCTAGAACTGGACTGGCAGGGTCACAGGGTCACACAGTGAGTGACCATTTTGAGGCCCCGGTGCCTTGGACAAGGGCAGGTGGGGGTCAGTGACAACGTGGAGGAGGTCGGAGAGCGAGCCCCGGGCCCTCCATGTGGCTCTGTGTTCTGACCCTGTGGCCAGCAGTGGGCACAGTGAGGTGGGGCTCAGACATGCATGTGTGGGGAGCCCCTCCCAGGATGGTGCCGGAGCCCTAGGATAAAGCCTCAGCCCCCACCAGCTGCCCCACAAACCAGGGCAGGAAGCAAATATCTCTGCCCCTGGAGGCCCTCATTTGTCCCTTCATGGGGACCTGCCTTTGCTTCCAAGGAGGTGGACAAGGCTGTGTCAGTTTGGCCCCGGCCCTGGGGATGGCCGCTGCTGGCTGTCCTGGGTGGTCTGCCTCGAGGGGGAGCGAGGGAGGTGGCTGTGCTGACCACAGTGAGCTCCATGGGGTGGGACTCCGGGAGGTCCTGGTGCTGGAGCTGGTGGCTCTGGCATCGACATGCAGGGGTTTGCTGGGGCAGGAGTGGGACCTGGGCTCTCAAATGCACACAGCGACCTGGTGGAAAGAGTGTGGCGGCTCGTACCACTTGCTCGACGTGGCATCCGGGACAGAGGGTGGCAGGCAGAGCCGAGGGCTGTCTGGGAGAGACCTGGGAGACTGGGGGTGTGCGGACAGTGTCCTCAGGGTAAGTGTCCAGGACCACTGGATCAGGAGGGAGCCGGGACCCTGAATCTCTACGTGAGGCCACATGGGGCAGGAGGGCTGGCAGGCTTGGTTAGTGGTGCCATGGTCCCTGCCCATCTGTGCTCTCGCCAGCAATGCCTGAGTAATGGGTATTCAAGAATCCCGTGACAATCCCAGGGCTGGCGTCCTGGAGGAGGGCGTGGTCCTGTGTCTCACTGTGGAGGAGACCAGGGCTGCAGGGATGGGCACTGTGTCTATAGCTAGTCTCCCCAGGGGAGCAAAAGGGGTGAGGCTGCTGGATGGAGCCAGGCCCTAGGGGGGGCTCCCGCAGTCCTGGGGGGCAGCCACGGAGCTGGGAAAGGTGAATGTATCTCAGGGGCCCAGAGCTGCTGCCAGGGTTCACATTGTCCCAAAACTCGTGGCCTTGGTTCCAGAGGCGGCTTCCCTGAGTTGGGCCTGGGCGCCACATGGCCATGCTGAGGCTGAACTGGTGGAGGTGTGAGGCAGTGAGTGGGTGAGGGGCGAGTGGGGGAGGAGTGAGTGGGGGAAGGGTGAGTGGGGACGGTTGGGTGGGGAGGGATGAATGGGGGAGGGGTGAGTGAGGGAGGGAGTGAGCCTATGAGGTGCTGAGGCTCTCGGGCTTTTATTCCCTCCAGCCTTGCTGTCCCCAGGCCCACAGCTTCCCCTTCCATGCTGCTGAGAGCTGGAGTCTGCCAGGATTAGGGGTGTGCATTTGCCTGTGATCTGGCCCAGCTCATAAACCTCCTATCACGTCTGTGCTGTGTCCTGTACTATGTGGATCTCTGGGGCAGGAGTTGGGATGGGCCTGGTCCCACTGTGTTCTGGGGGCGGGAAGAGCTGCAGGCAGGGGCATCATGCAGCCCCGACTCCAACCGCCGCAGGGCACAGACTTCCCGGGCAGGAAGCCGGCCTTAGGAAGTGCTCTTGTGGTGCAAACTCCTCATCCAGCCTGGTCCTTCCCTCATGGCAGGACCCAGGACTGTGGCCATCTTATGAGGGACAACCTGGGGTCCGGGAACCTTCAGTGGCCTGCCCAGAGCCATGGCACTGGGGGCGCAGACAGCTGTAAACTGTGTCCAGACCTCCCGGCCCTGAGCTCTGGACAACTTCTCACACCCACGGCCTCTGTGCCTCCTGCCCTGTTCCGTGCCCACCTGTCCTTCTGTTTTGGAGGCAGCAGGACCTGTGTGTTCCAGGGGAAGGACGTGCTCGGCCCCTCCCAGCCTGGGCAGCATGACCGCCTCCTGGCTGTGGTCTTGGGTTCTAGACCTGCAGGGTGGCCATGCTGGGCGTGGGCGGTCAGCAGCCCTCATTCCTTCCCAGGGAGGCTGCTGTTTGTGCTCCGCTTCTCCGAGGCTGCCTGTCAGCCCCTGCCTAGCACTCCTGCTGGGCCCATTTCCCAGCCCTGTCTTCCAAGCCTCATGCCAGGTGTCTCGGTGTCACCACCTTAAAAATAAGGGGCATCTATCCAAAGAAACAGCACAGAAGACACAAAACATGTCCCTGAGAAGCTGATGTCACTGTGACACCATTGCCAGTGTGAACCAAACATAAAATCCTAAGCCCCTTAGCTGACTGAACGGACCCCATCCTGGCCATGGAGACCCCTGAAAAACTGCATTCCTGGCATGGCAGGAAGGGCGGGCAGATGTGCCTGCCTACCACCTTCCCTTTAGGGTCAGCTACAACCACTGCCCAGCATTAAAGTCAAAATAGAGACCACAAGACGTACAGAGCAGACTCTGCGGCAACAAGATACCAGATTACAGACAGGACCTCAGGCACGCCAGGCAAGGGTCGAGCCGCGTGCCCCCCACCTAGAGGAGGACTCTGCCCTCACCCCCGCCGTGCCCCCCACCTAAAGAAGGACTCTGCCCTCACCCCTGCCGTGCCCCCCACCTAGAGGAGGACTCTGCCCTCACCCCCGCCGTGCCCCCCACCTAGAGGAGGACTCTGCCCTCACCCCCGCCGTGCCCCTCACCTAGAGGAGGACTCTGCCCTCACCCCCGCCGTGCCCCCCACCTAGAGGAGGACTCTGCCCTCACCCCCGCCGCAGCGTCTGCTTTTCCTCCAGTGCCTACACACACACTGGCCCCTCAATGAGCAAGACTCAAACAACTGCAGCTCATCCACCCGCAGACACTGCTGAGCTGGCTGAGCCCGTTCCATGACCACAGCTCTGACTGGGCGGGAGACTGACTTCAAGAGCCTCCTCCTGATAAGGGACCCCCACCATGGACCTGCTCTGGCCGGTTTACAGAGGCTGCGCACTCGAACGCCTTCGTGTCCTGAGGAGACCTCTGACATTTAGGGCCTCACTGAGACACAGTCACATGTGAAGGCTCCACCCTATAAGAAGTACATTTTTTTTTTTTAGATGGAGGCTGGCTCTGTCGCCCAGGCTGGAGTGCAGTGGTGCAATCTTGGCTCACTGCAACCTCCACCTCCCAGGGTCAAGCAATTCCCCTGCCTCAGCCTCCCAAGTAGCCGGGATTACAGGTGCCCGCTGCCACGCCCAGCTAATTTTTGTATTTTTAGTAGAGACGGGGTTTTACCATGTTGGTCAGCATGGTCTCCATCTCCCAACCTCATGATTGCCCACCTCAGCCTCCCAAAGGGCTGTGATTACAGGTGTGAGCCACTGTGCCCGGCCAAGAAGTACTTTTTAAGTGGTCCATATTCAGAAAACAGGCCCTGGCAAGTCCCGGCAGCTCCCTTGCAGACATGACAAGCCACATAGTACAGATTTGGGTCACTCTGAACAAGATCGCAGCATCGTGGAGGAATGCACGGCACTGAGGACATGCAAGGACACATGTTTGCCATATGAGGGCTGAGGCAGGAAAGCAGCACACCACCTCGTTCTGTTATGAACACGTGTGTGGAAACACATACTTACACATACATCTGGGAAGAGCGGTAAGACGCACGGAAGTCAGACGGGACGGAGAAAAGGGGGTGGCTAACCCATTAAAAGGAAAGAAACTTTCACCACTGGAAAATCCAGACTTAAAGTGGAGAAGGGGACAAGACGCAACCTTACAAGAGGACGAGGAAACTGCGGTGGCATCCGGGAAGTCTGTGACCCCACCGTCCTCAGCCATGAGGAACCTGGGGCGGGACCTGCGCACCGGGGATAAGTGGCTTGTTGAGGAACCTGGGGCGGGACCTGCGCACCGGGGATAAGTGGCTTGTTGAGGAACTGGGGTGGGACCCACGCACCGGGGATAAGTGGCTTGTTGAGGAACTGGGGTGGGACCCACGCACCGGGGATAAGTGGCTTGTTGAGGAACTGGGGTGGGACCCATGCACCGGGGATAAGTGACTTGCTGAGGAACTGGGGTGGGACCCATGCACCGGGGATAAGTGACTTGCTGAGGAACTGGGGTGGGACCCATGCACCGGGGATAAGTGGCTTGCTGAGGAACTGGGGTGGGACCCATGCACCGGGGATAAGTGACTTGCTGAGGAACTGGGGTGGGACCCATGCACCGGGGATAAGTGACTTGCTGAGGAACTGGGGTGGGACCCATGCACCGGGGATAAGTGACTTGCTGAGGAACTGGGGTGGGACCCATGCACCGGGGATAAGTGACTTGCTGAGGAACTGGGGTGGGACCCATGCACCGGGGATAAGTGACTTGCTGAGGAACTGGGGTGGGACCCATGCACTGGGGATAAGTGACTTGCTGAGGAACTGGGGTGGGACCCATGCACTGGGGATAAGTGACTTGTTGAGGAACTGGGGTGGGACCCACGCACCGGGGATAAGTGGCTTGTTGAGGAACTGGGGTGGGACCCATGCACCGGGGATAAGTGACTTGCTGAGGAACTGGGGTGGGACCCATGTACCGGGGATAAGTGGCTTGTTGAAACCGAGCTGGGTGTGCCTACCCATCAGATACCTCCTCTTGCAAGACCGCTATCAAAGTCTCACTTTCACTGTTCTTCATGCCTCTAAGTCCATTCATGGGATTTGGACGGGTGTTTCTCACAACCCCAGAGTGAAAACAGGTCGTATGTTACATGCATGTTGGTTCGGTGCCTCCTCCATGAATACTCAGTGATCTTCCATAAGCTATTGCACATGTGTGTTCAGCCAGCCAGGCCAGCGTGAAGCTCCTGCCCAGCCCCTCCCGCTCCGAAGCGCCTCCTCCTGGCTGTGGTGTTGGGCAGAGGCGGGGCTTCCCAGCCTGGGGATGGCTTTCTTACAGCCTGTGCCCCTTTACAAGAAACAAAGCCTCCTCTTTTTTTCCAAACTTACAGATTAGTGATTTTTTTTTTTTTTTTTTTTTTTGAGATGGAATCTCACTCTGCTGCCCAGGCTGGAGTGCAGTGGCACAATCTCAGCTCATTACAGCCTCCGCCTCCTGGTTCAAGCAATCCTCCCGTCTCAGCCTCCCAAGTAGCTGGGATTACAGGCATAACCCACCATGCCTAGCTAATTTTTGTATTTTTAGTAGAGACAGGGTTTCACCATGTTGGCCAGGCTGGTCTCAAACTCCTCATCTCAAGTGATCCACCCACCTTGACCTCCCAAACATGCTTGGATTACAGGCCTGAGCCATCACACCTGGCCAGATTTCTGATTTTTTTAAGTTAACACAAGCAGTCACCCAATTCCCTTCTCAGGAAGCAGCTACTTTCACCCATTCTCTTTCTCTCTGCCTCTCTCTGTGTCTGTCTGCCTGGCTCTTCTGTATATGCACACACAGCCCATTCTCATGATTCCCGGAGCTTCCATCCTATACAATCTCTACCAGCACCGAATAACCAAATACGGAACCATCGCTCCTACAGGAAGCACAGTGTTAGGGTCTCATGAGCCTCTGCTCACAACGTTCTCATCCACCAATCAGTGTTGTATGCTGGGCCATGCCCGGTCATCGCTGGCAGCAGCAGGCACCAGGCGGCCACCACCTCCCTGGGGGGGCCACAGTCAGGGCCAGCACTCCCTCACCTTTACATTCTCGGCACCTGGTGCAATTTCCAGCACATGGGAAGGTTCGCGGCATCGTGAATAAATGAATGCTTGAGAAGTAGAAGTATCAGGTCACGTTGGAAACATTCAGCAGAAAGAACCAAAAAGACCTGGTGGCCAACTGGATATGATTTGCAGGAGAAATGGAGACTTCGGTGAGATGTCTAGCTGGGGTGACCAAGACTCAGTCGCTTAGCAAGCGGGAAAAACACTCTGGCAGCACGGAGCTGCGCTGCTTCCAGTGGCTGTGCTTTCTGCAGGGAACGTGCATCAGGAGCCCTGCATTAGACTCACGGGTTCGCAGCGCTTGGAGTAAAATCAAGTGGAGATGTGAGGCCCCACACAGGGGCCCGCGGCCTCCCTCAGTGCCCAGATGGAAGACAGGGTGCATGGCCCGCCAGGAACCGCCGTGAGCCTGACGGGAAAGGGCTCACTCCACTCTCCTCTCTTTCCTGTTTGCCACTTGCTCGAAAGCCCTTGTGGGGACTTCGGGCACCAGAGGGAGGGTGGGGAATCACTTCTAGAAACATTCCACCCTCACGCCAGCGTTGACTGGGGCTTCTCTAGCCTGATAAATTCCAGAAGCCGCAGCAACCCAGACAAGGAGAGTCCCTGGCGCTGGGAGCAGGGTGGACGGCCAGCACCGGCCCCGGGACTCTGCATGCAGACATTACACCCTGTCTGCCTCAGTATCACGCTCTGCAGCCAACTTAGGCGAGGATGTGTCAACAGACCCAAACATAGACTCAGGACGTTACAAACCGAATGGCGTCTCCTAGGACTAAGCATGAAACTAATGAGCATCCTCCAGGTTTTCAACACAAACAAGGAAGGGCGGGCATTGTTTACACTCCTGCTGGACCAACAGGCCAGGGAGAGATAAAAGCCGACAGCCCTGAGCACCGAACACACACTCACACACTCACCCACCCACTCCCATCTCCTCCAGCTCAACCCCAGCATGGCCGCGTCCACCATGTCCGTCTGCTCCAGCAACCTGAGCTATGGCAGCCACGTCTGCCTGCCCGGCTCCTGTGACTCTTGCTCCGACTCCTGGCAGGTGGAAGACTGCCCAGAGAGCTGCTGTGAGCCCCTCTGCTGCACCCCGGCCCCCTGCCTGACCCTGGTCTGCACCCCAGCCAGCTGTGTGTCCAGCTCCTGCTGCCAGGTGGCCTGTGAGCCCAGCTCCTGCCAATCAGGCTGCACCAGCTCCTGCACGCCCTTGTGCTGCCAGCAGTCTAGCTGCCAGCCTGCTTGCTGTACCTCCTCCCCCTGCCAGCAGGCCTGCTGCGTGCCCGTCTGCTGCAAGCCTGTCTGCTGTGTGCCCGTCTGCTGCAAGCCTGTGTGCTGCGTGCCCATCTGCTGCAAGCCTGTCTGCTGCAAGTCTGTGTGCTGTGTGCCCACCTGCTCAGAGTCCTCCTCTTCATGCTGCCAGCAGTCTAGCTGCCAGCCAGCTTGCTGCACCTCCTCCCCCTGCCAGCAGGCCTGCTGCGTGCCCATCTGCTGCAAGCCTGTCTGCTGTGTGCCCACCTGCTTTGAGTCTTCCTCTTCATGCTGCCAGCAGTCTAGCTGTGTGAGCTGTGTGTCCAGCCCCTGCTGCCAGGCAGCCTGTGAGCCCAGCCCCTGCCAATCAGGCTGTACCAGCACCTGCACGCCTGCATGCTGCCAGCAATCTAGCTGCCAGCCAGCTTGTTGCACCTCTTCTTCCTGCCAGCAGTCTAGCTGCCAGCTGGCTTGCTGCACCACATCCTGCTGCAGACCCTCCTCCTCTGTGTCCCTCCTCTGCCGCCCCGTGTGCAAGCCTGCCTGCTGCGTGCCCGTCCCCTCCTGCTATGCCGCCACCTCCTCCTGCCAGCCCAGCTGCTGCCGCCCGGCCTCCTGTGTGTCCCTCATCTGCCGCCCCGTGTGCTCCCGCCCAGCCTGCTGAGGCCTCTGCTCAGCCCAGGAGTCCAGCTGCTGAGTGATCTCCTTAAGATCATCCAAAGCCGGAGCGCTCACTGCCACCTGCACCCCTGGATTCCTTGCCCCTGATGGCTGTGCAGCCCCCACTCCTGAGCCTGCCGTGGGCGCCCGTGGTCAGCTGGCCACCAGCATGCAGCCCTCCTTCTGGCAGCAGCTCAGCTGTTCCTTCAAGTCTTGACTTTCCCCCAATCACCCAGCCCTGCCTCCCCAGCAACAGGTGGGCAGTGACCCCAGCAAGGCCAGCCGGGTCCTCCCAGGCCATGGCCTGCTGTGGTGAGAAGAGAAGGCAGACCCACGTCAGGTGTGGGTTTCTTGTCGCCGCCCAGCTCAGTGGCGAGGCCGGCCTCTGTCTTCCCTGACAACAGGAACGGGTCAGACCCTTCCAATAAATTCCTTTCCTAAAAAGTATGACCAGAATTCATTCTTGTTTACAACCAAAGGCTCCTGCCTGAGGGTCCCCACCCATGGGTGGTCCTGGGCTGCTCCCATGCCTAGAGGTCCCTGTCCTTCCCAGCTGTCCTGGAAACCCCGTGCCACCCTCACAGCACATACATCTGAGGGGTAGGCAGGCCCAAAACCTGGGAAGGGCTAGTGATCCGACAGCAGCACTTGCCCCAGGTGGGGCTGCCTGGGGCCTCCCCTGAAGCTGTGTTGTGTCCAGCCCCGGCTCCAGAAAGGAAACCCCATGGCCATGTGCAGAAAGTGTCCATACCGTGGGCAAGGATGGCCAACGTGAGGGCCACTGGCTGAGCTGGGCCTTGACTGGCATTTGGGTACTGGGATTTTGGGGGGCTCCACTCACCCCACCTCACTGGCCCTGAGCTGTTTGTGCCACTTGGTTTAGGCAGAATACCCATGTTCCCTCTGGGAGTCTGGAATTCTGGTGCAGCCCAGGCAGAAACTGCTCACCTGACCCATCCCCAGGTACACCATCAGGCAGGGCGGCCCCAACACACACACACATGCACACACACACACACTCCAGGCAGGGTGGCACCATCACGCACACACCCCACCAGGCAGGGCAGTCCAACATCTCACACACACACACACACACACAATCCACACCCCACCAGGCAGAGCATCCCATCACACACACACCCCATCAGGCAGGGCAGTCCAACATCACACACACACACACACACACACACCCCACCAGGCAGAGCATCCCATCACACACACACCCCACCAGGCAGGGCAGTCCAACATCTCACACACACACACACACACACACCCCACCAGGCAGAGCATCCCATCACACACACACCCCATCAGGCAGGGCAGTCCAACATCACACACACACACCCCCCACCAGGCAGGGCAGTCCAACATCTCACACACACACACACACACACACACCCCACCAGGCAGAGCATCCCATCACACACACACCCCATCAGGCAGGGCAGTCCAACATCACACACACACACACCCCACTAGGCAGGGCAGTCCAACATCACACACACACACACACACACACATCCCACCAGGCAGGGCGGCCCCAACATCACACACACACACACACCACCAGACAGGGCGACCCAACACCACACACACACACACACACACACACACACCCCACCAAGCAGGGCAGTCCAACATCACACACACACACACACCCCACCAAGCAGGGCAGTCCAACATCACACACACACACACACACACACACACACACCCCACCAGGCAGAGCATCCCATCACACACACACCCCATCAGGCAGGGCAGTCCAACATCACACACACACACACCCCACTAGGCAGGGCAGTCCAACATCACACACACACACACCCCACCAGGCAGGGCGGCCCCAACATCATACACACACACACACACACACACACCCCACCAGGCAGAGCATCCCATCACACACACATACCACCAGGCAGGGCGACCCAACACCACACACACCCACACACACACACACACACACCACCAGGCAGGGTGACCCAACACCACACACACACACACACACACACACCCCACCAGGCAGAGCATCCCATCACACACACACACCACCAGGCAGGGCGACCCCACACCACACACACACACACACACACACCACCAGGCAGGGCGACCCAACACCACACACACACACACACACACACACCCCACCAGGCAGGGCGGCCCCAACATCATACACACACATACCCCATCAGGCAGGGCAGTCCAACACCACACACACACACACACACACACACACACACACACACCCCACCAGGCAGGGCGGCCCCAACATCATACACACAGTGCCCCAGCTGCTTGCAGGGGGAGTGAGGCACGTCCTGCGTGACCCCCGCCCTAGGGAGGCATCCACAGCCTGAGCCTGATGTCCCTGGACTCGGGCCCAGGCACCTTTCCCTTGCCTGATTTTACTCAGTATCCTCTCCTGTGGGAAGTCACAGCCGTGAGTACCACAACCTGCACGGCCTGTGGCCTCCTGGGGTATCACTGCCCTGGGTGGTCTTGAGGACCCTAATACAGGCCCCAGGCGGTCCTTTGCAAGTGAGGACAATGCTGTCCTCGGACAGTACTGGGTGCATTTCTGGTGGTACTTCCTTTGACTCCTGCTTCAGAGCAGGTGGAGACAGAGGAGGAGGCTGTGTGAGGCCAGGGCATCGTGGGTCTCATGAGGAGCAGAGCCATCCTGCACCTGCGAAAAGCTGTCCCTGCCCTCTGGTAGCCACAGAGGCTGTGGCCTGAAACTGTGGCGTGAGGCTGGAGCATCAGCTGGAAAGGAATAAGCCCTCCATGCCCCACCTGGAACTCTTCTGCCCCTACCCCAGCCCCAGTGCAGAGGTGTAGGCCTAGGGCCCCACAGGGTCGTGGGGTGTCCTTTCTGCCATGTTGAGGTGCAGGATCCGAGAGGTAAAGAGACAGGACACTGAAGAACTGATGAAGAGCATCTGGACTCAGGGGCCTTGCCACCTGTGAGCGGAGATCAGGCGGCCCCAAATGCCCAAGAGTATCTGAATTTATTAGGTACAAGCAGTGGGCAGGGTTGTGAGTGAGGCCATCATCTATAGACTTAGTAATAGGGCTACATAATCACGTAAGTCACAAGCGAGGGGGCCACCCCATTATGTCACTGGGCAGAGGTGGGTCGTGTGCAGTAGGGGTCCATGCCGTGTGCAGTAGTAGAGGGTCGTGTGCAGAAAAGGGGTCCACCCCCATTAGGTCACCGAGGCAAGGACGTGGGCTGTGTGCAACAGGTGTCCTGCACAACACTTCTTATCCGGGGGCTGGAGACTTCAAAGGGTTTCTAACAGAAGGATACTGCAAGCCACTGCAGTGGGAGCTGACAGACTTGTGCTCTTCTCTTAAGATATTTATGGGAGGATGATTTGAGCTAGCACAGAGGTGAGAAAAGACTGACAGGGTGTACAGCCGCCGTGGCTGGTCACACCAGAGGGTTCTTCTCCCTCGGTTACTTCCAGGATCTCAGGCCTGAGGCCGACTTTCCACAGGAACTGGATGCAGGTACCACAACTCCTTTATCAGGAGGAGAGGCTCTTGCTCCAAGCCTGCCATACAGCGTATGCCCTTTCAGGCAGGGACGCCACCGCCTGGGTCTTTGGTTCTCGTCCTGGTCTGGCTGTTTTCCATGTACTGCTTCTGTTCGGTGACTGCTCTAGGCACCCCTCCTACTGCAGACTACTGTATGGTTCTGTGGAAGGATTCTATAAGTCAGCACTAAACGTGTCTGTGCAGCTCCGACTACAATACCTATATGTTCATATAGAAAGATTATACGGAACTAAGTATGCTAGATGTAAGTATTAAGTATGATTATATAAGCTAGATAGAGCAAGCAGTAAGTCACACTTCAGGCACTAATTCTATAAACTAATATATGATTATATATAAAGGAAACATCTGAGTAGTAACACTATAAACTGAGATATTCTTCAGGCACTAGTTGTACCTGGGGTCTGGACAGTTCCCCTTCCTCGGTGCCCAAGGGGGTTGTTACCCACACAGAAGAAGTGAGCCAGGTTTCTCTCTGGCACCAGGGCTGCACCCTGAGTCGGGAGCCAGGGCTTGCCTCACTGGCTCCCCTCTGGCTCTATAGGAGGCACCAGGGGGACCACATGGTGAGCCCCCCAGCTACAGGTACGTGAATCCCAAAGACGGCAAGATGGAGGGGCCTTGCTCAGAGAAGCACGTCCTCCTCTGAGGATCTCAGACCCGGTTCCTCTCCTAGGGTATGGCCCCAGCAAGCATCCAGGCATGTGAGCCTCTGTGCTCACACGCCCCCAAACACCAGGGTGAACTTCAGGGAGGCGTGCTGTGGAGGAGAGATGTCAAGTTCCTTTCCAAGTGCAACAGGTGGAATTTCAGAACCTCCTGCAGAGGAAGGGCGTGCCAGCGCACTGGGTGGAGGGAAGTGGCCTCCTCCCAGGGGCCAGTCTTGGCCACAGCACAGAGGCTGATGGTGGCTGAAACTGCCCTTTGTCACCTGGACATTCACCATCTGCCCCCGGTCAACAATGCCTACTGCCTTCTTCGTTGGTGGAAGAACCAATGTCTCATAAAAAATGCAAAAGGCACAGATGATTAGAGAAAATACTGACAATCTCTGGGACGAGGCTTGTGCTTCTGTGTGGGGTAAAGTGCATGCAGAAGCACAAGCCTCGTCCCAGGGAAGCCACCTGTGGGGCACTGCAGGGAGACTGCAGGCTCACTGTGTCCCTCCTGGGCACGTGGGTTGGCCGCTTCCAGCTTCCTGCTGTGAGTTAGGGCCACACGATGAGTTTCTATTGGTTAAATGTGGTGGAGAGATGTCTGCACTTCCGGGCCACAGATTCTTGGAGCCCTTCTGCTTCTCGTCCTTGCCAGGCCATCTTGAAGGCCCACATGCCAGAGAGTGGGTCCGCACGGTAGGGGCGCGGCGTGCTTGGATGGCAATGTGAGGAGCAGGGAAGGCTTTGCGGGCTTCAGCCACTGACATGTTGACTTTGCCGGTTTCTGAACCAGCACTGATCACCTTCACCAACAGCATGGAACAGGCAAAGGATTCAAATTCATAAATGAATAAAAGAGATGGAAATACACCATTATAGGATCAGATGGCCAATGGCCAAGAATCCTAGGACAAGATAGCCGATCTCACCAACAACCAAGACACCGTGCACAAAAATTAACTAGGGGTCAACCCAGACCCAAATGTCTGAGATAAAGTCACGAGCTCTCTATATACAATCATATCATCAGCAGAGACAGTCTCGTTTCTGTCTTCCCTTTTATTTCTTTTCCCTGCCTTAACTGCTCTGGCTAGAACTTCCAGCACCACGTTAAATACAAGTGACAAGAGTGGGCATCCTTGCCTGTTCTTGATCTTAGAGAAAGAGCTTCCAGCTTTTCGCCACTGCGTATGGTGTCAGCTGCAGGCTTGTCACACGTGGCCTTTA